TTGAACGAGCCAATGAAGCAGAGACACGTCTTCGTCTTCTTCAACGAACACTGTATTTTTTTCCTGCGGATTTTATTCTGCATCAAAATTTATGGCATCATCCTATAATGCATTCTAGGTCACAAAAATGCAAACCAAACCCATCATCCTGTTCATCTTATTCTCCTAAATCCATCCATGGCCATGGCTTGTCTTGATTTTACCTATAATCAAAACGCATAAAAACAAAGAACCAAAACCCTAGCTTCGGGCATGGCTATACAGGCTACGAGAATGAAATTAAACATTGCAGAAAGGTTGGAAATTATGCAGGGGCCAAGAATATATCAATATTTTGGCAAAAAAATGCAAGAATCCAAGGTTATGAATTCGTGTACAGGGCTATGTTCTTGAGTACTTACAGTGCGATTCTAGTGGGTTCTGGACTTGCTTTTGATTGCTTTGGCTCCACTGGATGTCAGGCAAGAGAGCTATGTGGAGATTTTGCTTTGAAAACGCCTCCAATATGGATTTCGATCTCCAACTTTTCAAGGTTTTTTTCAGTTTTGGTTTGGCCGTCTCTTGCAGTTTCAGGTCTTGTCCTTGATATGCCTTGCTTGTGTGTGTATATGGGAATGAATTAGGTTAATCCTTGGGCCTTGAATCCATGTGCTTTGAAGATGGAAGATATGATTTGATCACCATTGATAAAGTTTCCAAAAATGCCTCAAATCAAATATTTTGTTCACAACAATGCTTGATACGAATTTGATTGAGTGTATCTTGATAATGAAGACCTGTAATGATCAAAAAAATCTTATTCCATCAATTTTTTGATTTTATTTGAATTAATATTGATTTAAAATGAATAAAATAAATAAAAATTAAATAAAATATAAAAATTAATGATTGGTCATGAAATTGAAGATAGGACACGTTTGTGGTGTGACAAGACCAAATCAAGTGGAAAAAAGTGTGCCCTTTTGTCAAAAATTGGAGTTTTGAGGATAGTTGACTTTTGGCAATTTTGGAAAAATGCCCAACTTCAACAATGCATAACTTCTTCAATTTTTAACTTTTGGAAGTTTATTTGGACTTTTTAGAAACCTTGAGATATCCTCTAACCAACCCTTTTGGTATCATCTCATTTTGATATTGCATTCTCAAGTTATAAGCTTTGGAAAAAAAGGTGTTTTTGTTGACTTTCAAAAATGACCTATAATGTTCAAATTTGTAACCTTTTGTGAGAGAATTTCTTGATCTTGGGGTGTGAAGATGGATTGTATTAAATTGAATCCTATTCAAAATGAGCTTTGAATGGGTCATTTATCATAAAGTATGAGAAAGTTATGCTTGGTCAAAGTTGAGTTGACTTTTCCCGTAAAACCTTAATTTAGCAACTTTTGAATCTTGATGAATCTTGAGCAATCCTTGATGAATCATGATCAAACCTTGATCAAATGATGAATTATTCTTCAAAATGAGAATGTTGACAAAAAATCTTGAGGTTTGACTGTATTTAGGTCACAGTTGACTTTTGCCCTAGCACAGACGATTTTTGGACCTCTTGAGCAATTGACTGACCAAACTTTCTCTGCAAGGCTTGAAATTTGACATGGATGAACTTGAGAACATATTAGGCCATTGGGGAGAATTTTATACCATATGGATGTAAGGACCTTGATGCAACACAAAACCCTAATTTTGAATTGACTGTCTTAGGAGATGATTTGACTGTCCAATTCTTGAGCCATCTTGAGCAACTTGAGATTATTCTTGACATGTTTTGAGAAATATGGGAGGGAAAATTTTGGGGTACAACAACTAGCATTTGCATGTCCCAAAAATTTCAAATGGATGTGAAAAGTGTTTTCCTTAATGGTTACATAAATGAAGAGGTGTATGTTTCACAACCTCCTGATTTTGAAAATCATGAGTATCCTAATCATATCTTTAAACTAAAACATATTTTGTATGGTCTCAAACAAATCCCTAGGACTTGGTATAAGCGACTTAGCAAATTCTTACTTGATCAAAGATATTCTAGAGGGAAGGTAGATACAACGCTTTTCATTAAACGTCAAGGAAAACATATATATTCTTCTCGTTCAAATTTATGTTGATGATATCATATTTGTCTCTACTAACATGTAATTGGTCTAGGATATTTATGAGATAATGTAGGGAGAGTTTGAAATGAATCTAATGGGAGAGTTAAACTACTTTCTCAGACTTCAAATCAAACAACTCAAAGAATGGACGTTTGTGTGTCAAACAAAGTATTGCCAAGAGTTGCTTAAATGCTTCGAAATGGTGGATGACAAGTAAATTGATACTCCAATCACTACAAGAAATATCATCTCCAGCCACGTGTTTTTTCTACGTGATTATCATGTGACTAAAAAAAGCCAGTTGCGACGTGATAATCACGTGGCAACATGTTTTATTAATAAAATAAAGAAGCATGATAGTTGTCTGAGTTTTTAAAAAAAAATATGTTACGACGTGGGAATCACATCGCTAGTAAAAATATAATATAAAATATTTTAATTGGTCTAACGTTCAGATGGAGGGATTTTTGAAATTTTGAAAAAGTCAGTTGTGACGTGGTATTCACGTCGCAACATTTAAGAGGGAAAATCAAATTAATTCAGACTGGCATGATCAACTTTTGCAGGCATGTGAAGAAAGAGAATATGACCGTTGGCATTGTTGCGACGTGAAAGTCACGTGGCAAAGTTGCGGCGTGATTTTCACATCGCTGAATGGTTTATATATTTAATTAAATCACGTTACACCAAGTACAAGACAGTAGTATATTTTCAACAAACACAGCTCTCCCTCTCTCATTCCATCCCAATCTCCATTAACCCTCTTCTTCTTCATAAAATCCAACTCAATCTCCATTATAAAACCTCTTCTTTTTCATAAAATCCAACTTCAATCTCCATTAATCCTTGTTTTTCAGGTAAATTTAATTTAATTTTGTCTCTATTTTGTTTACAAGTTTTTATTTATTGTATTATGTGATTGTAATTTATTTTAATTTTTCTTTGAATAGAAGAAGATTGATATAGTAGAAGTAGATTGCAAAAAGGTTGGACAAGAAGATTGAAGGAGTTAGAAGAGAAGAGGTATTTCTTGGAATTTTTTTTACATTTGGTATATTTTCTGAATTTAGTTAGATTTTAGGTTGAATTTGGTTAAATTATAATATTGTAATTTTCATTAAATATAATTTTAAAAATGAGAATATATATTATATAGATACTTCTTGTTAAAAAACGAAAATATATAAAAATAAATATTTATTAATAAACAAAAATATATATTATGATAAGTTATATATCTTGATTTATTTAATTTATTTATTATAAAAAACAAAACAAAAAAAGAATAATATATAAATTTTATAAAAACAGTTTTAATGTTAATATATATTTTATTTAAAACAAATATAATATTATATTTTATGTATTGATTAAAAACATATATAAAAAAATAGTTTTTTGTATTGAATAAAAACATATTTAAAAAAGTGTTTTAATATGTATATATTTAGTAAAAATTATTTAATGTTATTATTATAAAATCTGTTTTATAATTAGAAATATATATATTTAATGTTATTATTTAAAAACTCTTTTATAATTATGCATATATAAAAAATAGTATAATATTATAAAAAACAGTATAATATAAATTTGTGTACTGTTTTATTTTTATTTTTATTTAGTTTTTTATTTGTGTACTAATATAAATTTATAATCATATTTTATATTTAAAAATATTAAATTTAAATTTTAGTTTATTAATTTTATTATATTAAGTATATTAATTTATATATTTTGATATATTTAGTTTTATTTTTGATAATTTGATTTATAATATTGAATTTAATAAATAAATTATAATATTTAATTTATAAATTTAATGAAATAGAAAATAATATTAATTATTAAATCAGAATTATTATATTTAAAACAGAAAATAATATTAATTATTAAATCAGAATTATTATATTTAAAACAGAAAATAAATTTAAAAAAAAGTTGCGACGTGTTTTCTACATCATAAATTAGTGAGATGAAAAACATGCCGCAACACACAACGTAAAAGTGAATATAAAACCTGCTCTGATCTCTGCTCTGCTTTGATTGCCTTTGACCCCATAAAGTTTGTTGTGGCGTGAATTTCACGTGGCAACGTTGTGACATGTTTCTCACGTCGCAACAACATTGTCACACGCTCTCCAGCGACGTGTTTCTTCACGTGGCAAAAACAAAGTTGTGACATGATTTTAGTGTTAGCAGCGTGGGAGTCACTTGACAACACACAATTTATTTTGTAGTGAATGTCGACAAATGTAAACTTGGACAAAGACAAAAACAGTAAAGATGTTGACGTGAAAAGATGTAAATGTATAATTGGATTTCTCTTTTATCTTACTGCATCTAGGAGTAGTAGAACCATTTGATAAACAATGGATGGAGGAGGGTTCCTTCCAAGTGAAGGAATTTGGATGGTTCGAAGCGTAAATATCTGATGATATGTAACAATTCTATCCATTTTTTTTGTTTGTAACATGCAATTTCCCCAAAACCATAATAAATAGCTTAAGAAATCATACTTAATCACACAATTCAGTATGAAAAAATAAGAATAGAAATTAGTTTTTTCTTGTTTCTTCTATTTTCTCTAGTTTTATTTGTTGTTGAAATTTGATTATTATCTTTGGTATAAAAGAAATACATAAAGTAAACAAATGCAGGCATTTAAACTTTGTAATGTAAATAACCTTAATACACATTTAAGCTAGTTATTTAAAACAATCATTCCTTACATATTTAACCTAAGCAAGTTGTTTTTATAAGTCATTCCTTGATACATGTGAAGTCAGTACATGTGAACATATAACTAGAAAATAGATCTTTAGTCTTAAGTATAAAAATAGTCACTTGCAGGTTGGCATTGTGATAGTCCAGCTTCGAGGATGTCATTGTGATATGTGATCTTAAATACTAATAATGTTGCTTGGATTTCATTTCTGAATTATGATCACTAAAGTTTGATAACATGCCCACTATTTTGCTTTTTGTCCATCTCCAATGCACGGATATCCATCGCAAACTAAATAAAATACAGTAACAAAAATATTTTAGTGGTAGATATGATAACGACTCATCTCAGACCTAGAATAGAAGAAAGAAATTATTAATACCTGAGGTTTACTTTACTATGGGCAAATCAAAATCAATAAATATGATGTCAAAATTCACACCATTCAACAAAAGTTGCATTGGTTCTTGAGCACTATTTGCAGGTTTTCTTCCAATGCCTATACCTGTTGATTAAATTATATGAACATTAATAAAACATAAAAATATCTGTAGCTCTAGCTCTCATAGTGTGGCCCCTTGAATGCACATCCCAAAAGAAAATTAAAAATTGTAGATACATGCAACTAGAAATTAGATTTTACTAGGGTATGAAAAAAATACACAAACTGAACCTAAAAGCCAACCACTTTAATATGATCAAATCTAACGTAAGTGCAACAATCCAGCTACTTAAATTGTTAATGGTGATAACCTCACCTTGGTGACACAGTAGGGAGAAGAAGATAGAAGCAGAAACAGTTTGCATTGTAACAGAAACAGTTGAGCAAATAACAGAAAATTATTCTTTCTCTTTCAATTAATTCTATCAGCACTGTACAATAAGATATATATACAAAGGGATAGGATAAAGAATGTGTGGATGTCAGGAAGCTAAAGAAAACACACGTGGCATCCACAGATAGGCTAATACTAGAGTTAGAAATAAAACTAAAACTATCCTATCTATATACATATATTAACAGCCCCCCTCAAGTTGGACTTTGGATATTGCAAAGTCCCAACTTGTCCAATGTAATCTTCAAAGCTGGTGAATGTAGAGGCTTAGTCAACATATCAACTAATTGAGCGTTGGTTGATATGGGAAGAAGATGAATGAGCTTGGACTGTATTTTCTCGCGCACTACATGACAGTCAAGCTCAATGTGCTTGCTCCTCTCATGGAAGGTTGGATTGTGAGCCAAGTAAATGGCTGATCTACTATCACAAAAGATGGATGAAGGCTGGGAGAAAACAACATGAAGATCACGAAAGAGATAATGCAGCCATTGAATTTCACAGGAAACAGATGCAAGAGCCCGATACTCTGCCTCAGTTGAAGAACGAGACACAGTCTGTTGCTTTTTGGATTTCCAGCATAAAAGAGAGGAGCCAAGCATGACACAATAGCCAGTGATTGATCTTCTAGTATCTGGACATCTGGCCCAGTCTGCATCAACGAAACCAACAAGTTTCAGAGCACTGGATGCAGAGAATAGGATACCTGTAGCAGGAACTGACTTAAGATATCTCAAGACCCGATTAGCAGCTTGTAAGTGAGGCATCCTGGGTTGAGACATGTACTAGCTTAAGTGCTGAACGGCATAGGAAATGTCAGGTCTTGAGTTAGTCAGATAGATCAAACGACCAATTAAGCGCCTGTAGACAGTGGGATCCTCCAACATAGGTCCTTCATGAATAGAAAGTTTGACAGTTGGGTCAAAAGGAACAGAGGAAGGTTTTGCAGCGAGAACACCAGCATCCTGAAGAAGTTCCAGGGTATACTTGCGTTGGTTCAAGAAAATGCCATCTGCAGATCGAGCAATCTCAAGACCAAGGAAGAATCTCAACTGACCCAAATCTTTAATCCTAAACTGCTGATCCAAGGACTTCTTGACATGATTAATCTCTGAAATAGAATTCCCTGCTAACACTATATCATCTACATAAACCAATAGTGCTGTGAAATGTTGGGAAGAAGATTTAACATATAAAGAATGGTCAGCTAAAGACTGATTATAACCCAGAGAAATAAGGAAAGTAGATAATTTGGAATACCACTGTCTACTAGCCTGTTTCAAACCATAAAGTGATTTCTGTAACTTGCATACTTTTGATGGAGAAAGACCAGTAAGACCAGGAGGAAGATTCATGTATACTTCCTCATGAAGGTCACCATGGAGGAATGCATTGTTCACATCTAACTGTTCCAAATGCCATCCCTTAATAGCTGCAAGTGAAAGTAAAACTCTAACAGTAGTAAGTTTAGCAACAGGGGAAAAGGTATCAAAATAATCTACTCCTTCCATTTGAGTGAAACCCTTTGCTACAAGCCTGGCCTTATATCTCTCAACTGAGCCATCAGCTTTGTGTTTTACTTTGTAAACCCATCTACAACCTATAGGAACCTTGCCAGGAGGAAGATCAACCACAGTCCAAGTTTGATTTTCTGCAAGAGCTTCTAACTCAACATTCATGGCATTAATCCAACAATCATGTTTAATGGCCTGTTTATATGTTTTAGGTTCAGAGATAGCAGATATAGAACAGCAAAAGTGCTTAAAATCTGGAGAGCACCTGTCATAGGATAAAACAGATGATAGAGGATATAAGGTGGATTGTTGCTTAGGAGATGAAGAAGACAGAGATTGAGGGTTATTCAAAATATGATAGCAATGATAATCTGCCAGGTATCCAGGAGGATGAGTAGACCTGGTGGACTGTCTAAGAGGAGGATGGGGATTGTCTGAGATAGGAAGATGAGTATCAGGGGAAGATCTATCATTAGACAAGGAGTTATCAATTGGTTGTCCAAGAGATAATGAAGGAGAATCAGGTACAGAAGTAAGTGAGGGTGATTCAGAAATGGATATAGGGATAGTACTAGAAACAGGAGTAGCTGGCAGAATAGGAGATGTAGGATCAGTAGCAGAATTAGGACTGCTGGCAGAAGGAGGACTGTGTGTACTAGGAAGTTGACAAGGACTAGGAGCAGAAATAGGATCAGAAAAAGAAGTAGTATTGTCTAAAGGATTAGAAGTATCAGTGGATACAGGAGACTGATGGACCATAGAATGGTCATCATAAAGTGGTTGATGTTGGGATGTGTGTTTGGAAAGAATTTTGGACTGATGTGGCTGAAAAGGAAAGTTCTGCTCATAGAAAATAACGTTCCTAGATACAAATATATTGTGATGAGTTAGATCATAAAGGATGTAACCTTTGGTGCCATCCTTGAATCCAAGGAAAACAGACTTTCTAGCCCTAGTGTCAAATTTTGTCCTGTGAGAGTGTAAAGTGGCAGCAAAACTCAAACATCCAAAAACTTTTAAATGCACAATAGAAGGTGGCTGCTGAAAAAGCAGTTCATAAGGACATTTTAATTTCAAAATAGGAGTAGGCAACCTATTAATGATATGAATAGCATGCTGTATGCAGAAATTCCAGAGATTTAGGGGAATATTGGAATGAAAGAATAGAGTTCTAGCTACATTCAAAATATGTTGATGTTTTCGTTCAACTACTCCGTTTTGTTGGGGTGTTTCCACACATGTTTTCTGATGAATAATGCCCTTATATGCAAGAAAATCAGTCAATGCTATGAACTCAGTACCATTATCCGACCTTAAGCATTTTAGAGAAGTATGAAATTGGTTTTCTATGTATGCTATGAACTTGATAATGTTTTCTTTGGTTTGATGTTTGCTCTTGAGAAAAACAGTCCAAGTATATCTAGTATAATCATCAACAAGAGTCAAAAAATATTTATGTCCTAACACAGATATAGTAGAAAATGGACCCCAAACATCAGCATGAAGAATTTCAAAAGGAGCATTAGATTTACTATTACTGTGAGAAAAAGGAAGCCTCTTTTGTTTGCCAAAGTGACAAGAGTCACAAGGTATGTCATTATTACATTGTGAAGGTACAAAAGGGAAAACTTTAGAAATATCTTGTAAACCTATATCAGAAACATGGCCTAATCTTAAATGCCACAGATTACAAGGATTTTGAGCAAAAGAATGGAAAGCACGATGATGAGAAGAAGATTCAAGAACATAAAGCCCTCTTTGAAGTTTAGCTATACCAATCATTGCCCTCGAATGATTCTGCACAATTTTGCAGGAATTATCAGTAAATTGAACAAAACAATTATTACTGTTGACAAGCTTGGCAATAGAAATCAAGTTAACACGAAATTTTGGTATGAACAAGACATTGTGTAAAACTAAAGCAGGGGAAATAGTGATGCTGCCAGAAATTGAAGCAGTTACTTGGGATCCATCTGGCAAACTAACATGAATGGGAATTATGGATTTGTAAGAAGTAAAAGCTGTAAGATCAAAAGCAATGTGGTCGGTAGCACCAGTATCAAGAATCCACAAATAGATATTATTACCTTGTTCGTTGTGAGAGTGAGAGTTCAGAACAAAAGGCGATGTGGTGATGGAATTGGCTTGAGAGGTGTGTTTGGATTGCTGAAGTAATGCCAGAATGTTTTGGTATTGCTCTTGAGTAAAACCAAAAGAGGACTTGGATGAGTTCTGCTGAGAAGATTCCAAGGCTGCATCAGCAGGGACATCACTTTGAGTAACTGAATTGGTGGATTTGCCTTTGCTCTTGAAGCCAGGTGGATACCCATGTTTCTGAAAACAAGTCTCAACTGTGTGATTGTTCCTACCACAGTGTGTACAAATACGACTGTGACCTTTAGCTCCACCATAACTCTGTGTTCTGCCTTTACCATAGTTGTTACCAGTCTTGCTGTTACCATTACCATTGCCATTGTAGGAATTGGTGTGAAAAGCTGCAGATTCTTCAGAACTGTTGGTAGTGGGTGTAGCAACAGAATTAGAGTTATTCAACTCTCGTTCTTGTTGAATAACCAGCGAAAAGGCTTTGTCAATATCTGGTAAAGGATTCATCATCATGATTTGGGACTTGGAATGAGCAAACTTCTCATTCAAGCCCTTAAGAAACCTAATCACATAATCCTGTTCACGATATTGACGAATTGATGCAAGAGCACCACATGAACAAGGAATAGCACAGCAACAAGCAGTAATGGGACGATAGGTTTCAAGCTCATCCCATATTACTTTCATCTGTGTAAAATAATTGGAGACATCAAGAATACCTTGGCGGAATTTGTACAAATCTTCTTGAATGTCAGAGATTCTGAAAATGTCACCATGAGAGAAGCGAATTTGCAGGTTCTTCCACACGCCAGCTGCAGTATCAATCCAAAGAACGGATTTAGCAATTGATTTAGAAATCGAACGGTGGATCCATGCTAATACCATCGTATTGCAGCGAATCCACGGAGCGTAAAGAGGATCAGAAACGGGAGGTTTCGTGATGGTGCCATCGATGAATCGCTCCTTGTTCTTGGAAATCAACGCGATGTGCATTGATCTTGCCCAGGTATGATAATTCTTGTCATCAAGCAAGGGTGACACAAGAACAAGAGACGGATTTTCGTTCGGATGAAGGTAAAAAGGATTCGTGAAATTTGTGGAGAAGTCGATATAGCTCTGGTAAGCCATCAGAAGGAAAGAAAACGAAAAACGCAAACGAAGAAGAGAAGTGTGAATCAAAGAACGAAGAAAACTCAAGGTGAGCAAGAAAACGGGGAGATTCACAATCGAGGAAGGGTTTGCAACAATGGCTACCAGAGCTTTTTGAGCTCTGATACCATGTTAATGGTGATAACCTCACCTTGGTGACACAGTAGGGAGAAGAAGATAGAAGCAGAAACAGTTTGCATTGTAACAGAAACAGTTGAGCAAATAACAGAAAATTATTCTTCCTCTTTCAATTAATTCTATCAGCACTGTACAATAAGATATATATACAAAGGGATAGGATAAAGAATGTGTGGATGTCAGGAAGCTAAAGAAAACACACGTGGCATCCACAGATAGGCTAATACTAGAGTTAGAAATAAAACTAAAACTATCCTATCTATATACATATATTAACATAAATAGTATCAAATCAAGCATAATTGCAAAAATCCAACAAATACCTAGCAAACATATATTATAACTAACTATCACAATCTATCGAACATATTTAAAGAAAAAATAGAGAAGAAAAATGAAAATTTCTAATGCCATACCTCATCAAAACTCCATAAAAAAATTTCAAAATCCCAATGACAGAAAAAAAATCACTAACATTTAATCAAGGAAATCCAGGTCGATGAAACGGAAACAATATCTCTGACAAAAGTCCAATCAATTTGCATGATAGAGATGTCGGTGAATGAACAAACTTAATTTTCCACAGTTAGAATGAAGCTGCATAATTTAGAACAAGATTTAGTAGAGATTAGAAGATCACATATGAATTAAATTAAATAGATAGAGGAATCAAATCTAAAGAAGTAGCGCAAATGCATACCTGTATTTAAATCAAACTCATGGTAGCACTTGTGTCTATTGATTCAAGTTGAGTTGGTATAAACAGTGGAAGATACCTACGGCTATTGCAAAATGGTTGAAGGGAGGCAAGTTGAATATAAAAATAATTTTTTTAATAGATAAAAGAATCTTAAAACAGTAGATTTATTTTAATATTTATTGTCACATAAAAAAAAATATAAAGATTGTTTAAAAATAAGAAATTATATTAGGATTTTAAAATGAACAAGCGGTAGAAAAATGTAGTAGTGACCGAAGGGCTTTTGCAGTTTATTAACAATAGCGTGACGGTTTTCTTTTTTCTTATGAAATAAATAATTTTGTTTTATATTCTTCTTTTGATTCTTTTGATTTTGCTTGAGGTGGCAGAAAAATATTTGTGAAGAAAAGTGAAAAAAATAAGACAACAATGAAATCTAATTAAAAAAGGAGAAATAGCTATAAGATATTGAAACGAAGTTTTGGTTAGATCGGAAAATGTTGAAGTATTTAGGAGAGGATAATTTTTTTTTGAGAAAGGGAAGGTTAATTGTTAGTTTGATTTAAACTCAATAATATCACATCTATTTATATTAGAGAAATTCTTAAATCAACCACTAGGATTTTTCCATCAAAAATTTAATCTAATGGTTATAAATTACTCTCTAGAATTTTCTTTATTATTCTACAAAAATCTAAACTTATCCTTATCTTCTAGATTAAGCTTCTAGAAGTTATACCTATTACACCTAAAATTTGGTCTTAAAATTCTTAAGGCCCAAAACCTAACAAACTTAAAATCAATTTAAATATTTCACACTCCCTTAAACTTGATTTTGCCACGCCATATAAATATCTTAAATTGAAAAAAACTATTACAAATAATATATTTTATCATAAAATTTTCACCTTATCTGATTAAAACTGAAGTCAAATGTCTGGCACACGCCATTTTAATTTTTTAAATTAAATCTTATCCCTCAATTTTAAACTAAACAAACGAAAAGTGTAATTTATAGTTTAAGCTACGATTTATGGCTCTTGCAATTTTATATTTTATTTAAAACTAAAATGACGGTCTTATTTTATTTAAACTTTTAAATTAAAATTAATAGAAGATCATGCGTCAGCACTAAAAGTTCACTTATTCCTACATGAAAAGTAGTTAAAGATGATTAATAGGAAAAAATTAGCATAGAATAGTCATGAGAAATTATAGTCGAATAAAAGATATTATTGTAATGAAAAAATCCATTGTAATAAACATGAAGATAGGTAATAACATTCAAATAGATGTATTAGTAAAATTGGGTGCAAATGTTATAATTATAAATTTTGAAACAAAATGCAATAATGAAATACCTAGGTAATATTATGGAAAACTTCTTTGAAGACCATGTTAGTTATTTGTGATAATGGATTCTTGTCTTTGTCATGAATTAAGATATTCAAGCCATTTTTTCTCTTGACTCTTGACATGGCCACATAAAATTGTCCATGACTGAACACATCTTTTGGAAAATATAAATCAACGTAGTTTAATGATTGTCTTTGTGATTTGTTAATTGTCATAGCAAAGGAGACAATAATAGGAAATTGTCTTCTAATAAGTTTGAATGACTAAGGAGATTGAGAAGGTGACAAAGACATTCTTGGGATGTAAATAATATTTCCTATATGTGTATCTGATATAATATTTTCTTCGATGACATGATTGGTTATCCTAGTAACGGTCAATCTTTGTACCATTACATAACCATTCAGATTGATCCAAATTCTGTATCAACATTATAGTTTTGTCAATCTTTAGTTTCACGGAATGATTAGGCAGACCCGAAGTTTTCAAACTGCTTAAAAATTTGAGTATCAAATACACGTAAGCTTCATTGTCATTAACTTCTGATCTATCAATGGAATCACTACTCAAATGTTCTTTCATGTCACCTTAATGAAACAATATAGAGTATTAAATTTAACAAAATGAAATTCAAAAAATTTATTTAGAGAAAATGTATAATTAATAGTTACCTGAAAGAAGATTTGTGATGTAATCATTTATTTCATCAATAATCTCAATAGTTGATGTTAAAATAGCTCGACTTTGTAGATACTCTGTATTTGTGTAATTTTGAAGGAGATTTTGGTAAGTAGTTGTGATAATTTATTCAATGGGGTTATCATAATTTGTTAGAACCAACTAAGGTGGAATATAAATTTTCGCATATCTGTCAGTTGGTTCAAAAAGTTGACTATCCTCTACTTGTAAAATCCATTTAGAGAATAATTTAATATCTTATGCACTTCTTGAATTAGACCCAATTTCCAAACGCATATTGTTGGTCATCTTTAGTACCTTGCTATGATCCTAAATGTAGGATGCATTTATCGTTGAATGGACAATATCAAAGGTAGTTCCTCTTGGTACAACGAGTAGAATCAGTCTAAATTCACCAGCAAAGACCACAACTTTTCCTCCAAAAATTTCCTCACATGCCACATTGTCATCACCCATTATATATTTCAAAGACTTGCTAAGAGATTAAAAACAAAATATATTTGTAATAGATTCTTCATCCTATATTATCAGCTTTATTATTTGCTACAGGCCGACAAGGTTGTATTTTTTTCAATGTTACAAATAGATGATTTTATGCACGATACAAGAATCTTAAAATCTTGAGTGTGTCGTTCTCCCTCCGGGTAATAGTAGATTTCCAATTCCACTTAATGCGACATTCAATACAATATTGCAGTTAGAACATAAAGCGACCGAAAAAGTGTTTTACATGAAAGTCTTTCCAATTTCACGATATTCATATAAAAAAACACCTTCTTTCTGATCACTGACAACTTTCATAATTGCTCTAAAAATTCCAAGCTATTCTTGTAAGTATAAAGGAAAAAAACATATTCACATATAAATGAGTATATTCCAATTCAAAGAAATATGGATTATATATAAAGAGTATGGATGACATAGGTTACTATAATGATTATAAATAAACCAAAATGTAATTCATGTATGGATGAGAGATAGCTTACAAAATTAAGTATGAAATCCTAAGCTTCATGAGAGGAATGATGGATCCATACTTCTTCCGAAAACCTGCAGAACACTCAATCTCAGGAATTACACTGATCAACTCATCTATTTTGGGATCTTCGAAACTGTATTTCCCGGTCTTTCTTTTCCCAGAATCCATGGTTACCTGAGACATTCACAAATTTCCAACTTTTAAATCCCTTGAAATAAGATTTCTTCGAAAGATGCTTATGAGTGCATGGATGCATGATGCAACAATCACACACTGTGATACAGTGGGAGAACTGACTTGGGTTTTGTGTTTGTTTTTGCAAATGTTTCGGTTGAGCAAGAGTCGCCACCGACTTTTTATTTTATCCTAAGGAAATGTTAAAAAGCACAGGAAAAACCTTTGAGATGTTTTCTTGGGTTCGGGGAGTAGATTATAGAAAGGGAAGGTATTAGCACCCTTTCTATCCATGGTTATCCATGGGCTCTTAGTTACTTGCTTAGATCACTTGCCTTGCATTTTCAATTGTTTGAAATGGTGCTTTCAATTGTTTGAAATGGTGCTTTGTGTGTGGTCTTGAAAATGTTTTGAAAAAGATGCCTTGTCTAGGCAACCATTGTAACAATTCTTTACTCGAATGTTTTACAAAGGTGTTTGTCTTTTTGAAAAGATGTTTCAATGTTTTTGAAAGTTTGTTTTTTTTGAAATTGTGTTGTGGAGTGTGTTTTAAAAAATGGCAAGGATTTGTTTTGCAAGTTGGTCAAGTAACCAAGAGCTATCTACCCTAAATTTCTCAAAGATCTTTCCTATGTTTTAACCCTTTTAACAGTATTGTTCCACCATTGTATTTGGTGGACAATCTTGTGTTAGGATGTTAACGGGACGGGCGCGGGTCATCGTTTAGACCATGAATGCAATGGTGCCAAGTGTCTTTGGCAATTTTCCTCTTTAAGGGACTTGATCATTTTTTAGGCAACTTGAGAAAGCGTCATCGAGGGACTATGATCATTTGATTTGTTTTGTTTTGCCAAAGACACTCAACATGCAACATGGCCCATTTTTGAAGGCAACAAGTGGAGTAACCCTAAGGGTTCAAGTGTGATTGGTGTTGTCCATTTTCATGTTTTTTTGTCTTTGTATTAGTCAAGCTATTTGTTGGTTGATTTGCATACAAACCCTAGGTCTATCATGGCATAATTTGAAAGCTTTTAAATGCGGGAATTTAAAGTCCTAAATTATTACAACATAATTAAGGGGATGGGGGTACAAATGTTTGAATGGGGGATATTTAGCAAGAAATTAAATCTAAAACTATTGCATCCATATTGAATATATGAATTATTTAATTGTACAATAATTAAATAAATACAATAAATATGCAAAATGTATTATGCACAAAAATGGTTTTTTATGTATGTAAAAGTATTTTTCAATGTAAAATATAAACAAAAATAAAAAGGTCAATTTTGGAGTATTTTTATGGTTTAGGGCAAAACCCTAGTTTTCTAAATAAATAATATTCATTTATTAATATCATACAATATTATATATTAATTTATGCACAATAAAAATATAAAAAAATAAAGTATATTATAAAAAAGGGTATTTTTAATGTCATATATTAATAAAATAAAAAAATGTATTATTTTCATATTTTATCCTAAATATTCTAATAAATGTACAAGTATTTATATTATATATATATTTAAATATACTAAATATGTACAAAAATAAAAATATTAATTATTTACAAAAAAAGTATATTTTTTAGAAAATGTTTTCAAAAGGTAAATAAAAATAATGGCTGAAAATAT